TTACATATTTGTTATTGTTGCTGATGGATTGGTTTTTCATACTGGGAGATATTACAATTTTAGATTTCTGGTTTCTCTCGAAAATTCTGAAGATCTGGCATCTAATACATTCTACAAGGCTCACATGCTAGAGCTGAGGAGGCCCACCTGCCTCTTTAGAAGACACCTGTGCTGTCCAGGTCACGGCAGCCTCACCTGGTCTCACTCCTCTCTCCCTGACCAACCAGGCCCTGGGGGCTTCCCACTTTCCTCCCCTGTTCTGTATCCCATCTCCTGTATGCCTCCCTGCAGAACCCTCGAGAATGCCCTGTCGGAACCAGGAAGCAGGGTGTGCTCCCTTCACCTGGTTCTCACTTTCTCAGGGGATATAGGCTCACCCCTGCTGTTTTGCTCCATGAATCTGTTCATGCTTTTCCCTGGTCTCTTTCTGCCAGGTCACTCCATACCTCTGGGCATGAGTTAGAAAGTGCCCCCTACACACTTACACACGTGCACACACATAACAGGAGTCCTTTCACCTCCTTACTTGGAGAGCACCGACACTCATTGACCACCATGGTCATGTCTGGCTCCACATTCCAAGGGAAGGAAAAGTTACTGGTCACCTTGAGACAGATGCCCAGCCCAACCCAGCAGTCTGATGCTCTGAGCAGAATCAGTTCTGTTGGCAGAAGGATGGACATGGCTTCTGGGACAACCAATAGGTTGTGCCACAGACCATGACTAACTTTCTCCTTCCTCCCCAGCAGAGAGTTCCTCTTCCAGAAGTTGAAGGTACAGACAAAGGGTGATGATCCTGCAGAGTACTTCAAGTTGCAATGCAGAAACAGGAACTCCCTTCCCCAGAGGTCTGCAAGTCAGGGTGCACTTGTACTTCAAGTTAGAAGCTGTCTGTTCAAATAAGTAATAGTAGTGGACACTGTTCCAGGGGCTGGGGATACATGAGTAACCAATACAGACACCGCTGCCATTCTGGAACTGACAGTGTAGTTGTGAAGACAGTCAGTAAATAGATAATGATCAAAATAATTTCAGTTGGTGAAAAAAGAAAGCAGAGAGGGTGACAGAAAGGCTTGAAGCAAACCAGGCTTTTATGTCTACGTAGGGAGGTTTAGGGAGCTTCATTAAAGAGTTGACACCACAGGAGGGAACCAGCCTGCTGAATAACCAAGGAAGGATACCCAGATATCCTAGATGAGGTTTTCTATGCCAGAAAAACAGAAAAGAAGGCCACTGTGATAAGATCTTGGTTGGGGATGGTGAGAGGCATCAGGGAGACTGGCAGGGGCCAGATCCTGTGGGGTTTGAGGGCCAGCAGAAGGAATTTGAATTTTATTCTAACACAGGAGCCACTGAGGAGATCTCAGAAAGAAGTGATGGGAGCTGATTTACCAGTTTATAGAATCTATTAATCATGCAGGTTTCTAGAAACATTCTGCACCCCGCCCCCAGATCCACCAGTGCTCATGGTGGCTCATCTGACATTACTTCCTTTCTGGTGGGGTGACTGGTCTGGTGGACTGCAAAACAGGCTGACAACAGTCTAGCCTCTGTGTGCAGCCACCAGTAGACAAGATGCACAGAGGGCAGAAGATGTGTTCAGTGACACCACAAGGGAAATGGCAGTCATATTCTGAAAGCAGGAAATGCTGTGGAACAAGTGACCCAGCTTGCAGCATGTGGATTGAGTTCCAGCCTGCAAATCAAAGGGTTGCCAGTTCAATTCCCAGTCTAGGGCATATGTCTGGGTTGCAGGCCACATCCCCAGTAGGTTGCACGCAAGAGGCTACCACACATTGGTGTTTCTCTCCCTCTCTTCTCTCTGTCTTTCCCCTCTCTAAAAATAAATTAATAAAATCTTTAAAAAAAGAGGAAGAAGAAGAAGTAGTAGTAGTATATCTGCCAAAGGAGTATAGATCACGTTTGGATCCTGGTTTGAACACTACAGTGGGGGAAATGCAGTGCAGACATGGGATATTAGAATTCTTGTTAGCTAGTCGGATAAGGTAAAGATTAAAAGCTTTATCTACTACAGATATAAGCTAAATTATTTATATAGGTGAAATCACCTACTATGTGAGATTTATCCTAAAATATTCTTGCTGTCAAAAAAAGTGTGGAGTGGGTAGATGTATAAAACAGAAATGGCTGCCCTGGCTGTTGTGGCTCAGTGGACTGAGCACCAGCCTGCAAAGAAAAGGGTCACTGGTTCGATTCCCAGTCTAGTGCACATGCCTGGGTTGCAGGCCAGGTTCCCAGTAGGGAGGCATGCGAGAGGCAACCACACATTAATGTTTCTCTCCCTCTCTTTCTCCATTCCATCCCCTCTCTCTAAAAATAAATAACTAAATCTGGACTTCCGACCAAGGTGGAGGCGTAGGGAGGCGTATACCCTCACACAACCAAAAGAAGGACAACAGCAAATTTAAAAACAAAAAGTAACCAGAACTGCCAGAAAATCAAACTGTATGGAAGTCTGATAACCAAGGAGTTGACGAAGAAACATTCATCCAGACCAGGAGGAGGGGCGGAGACCGGCAGCCGGGGCAGCAAGGCAAGGCAGCGGCTTGGGGACCGGGCAGTCCCACATTTGCATGCAGTTAAACCAGGAGGAACAATTGGGGAGCCAAACAGATTGTGAAACCCAGGGTTCCAGCATGGAAAAATAAAGCCTCAAAACCTCTGGCCGTAGAAACCTGTGGGGTTTGCAGCAGCAGGAGAAACTCCCAGTCATACAGGAGAGTTCACTGCAGAGACCCACAGGGCCCTAGAACATATACAAAGCCACTCACCCAGGAATCACCACTAGAAGGACCCAATTTACTTGTAGGAAGTGGGGGAAATGACTGAAAGCTGGCCAAGAGCCGAGCAAGTGGCATCATTCCCTCTCAGAGCCTGCCCCCACATACGATGTCACAACGCAGTGACATGCGTTGCCCCACCCTGACAAATACCTAAGGCTCTTCCCCTTCCAACGTGATAGGCGTGCTGAGACAAAGAAGTATGCCCCAAATGAAAGAACAGATAAGAGCTCCAAAAAAAAGAACTAAGTGACTAAGAGATAACCAGCCTATCAGATGCAGAGTTCAAAACACTGGTAGTCAGGATGCTCACAGAAATGTTTGAGTATGGTCACAAAACGGAGGAAAAAGCTAAGGCCATGCAAAGTGAAATAAAGAAAAATATACAGAGAACCAACAGTAAAGGCAAGGAAACTGGGACTCAAATCAATGATTTAGAGCAGAAGGAAGAAATAAACATTCAACCAGAACAGAATGAAGAAATAAGAGTTCAAGAAAATGAGGAGAGGTTTAGGAACTTCTGGGACAACTTTAAACGTTCCAACATCCAAATCATTGGAGTGCCAGAAGGAGAAGAAGAAGAGCAAGAAATTGAAAACTTATTTGAAAAAATAATGAAGGAAAACTTCCTCAATCTAGCCAAGGAAATAGACATCTAGGAAGTCCAGGAAGCTCAGAGTCCCAAAGAAGTTGGACCCAAGGAGGAACACACCAAGGCACATCATAATTACATTACCCAAGATTAAAGATAAGGAGAGAGTCTTCAAAGCAGCAAGAGGAAAGGAGACAGTTACCTACAAAGGAGCTCCCATAAGACTATCAGCTGATTTCTCCAAAGAAACCTTGCAGGCAAGAAGGGACTGGAAAGAAGTATTCGAGGTCATGAGAGGCAAGGACCTACATCCAAGATTACTCCATCCAGCAGAGCTATCACTTACAATGGAAGGGCAGATAAAATGCTTCTCATATAAGGTCAAGTTAAAGGAGTTCATCATCACCAAACCGTTATTACATGAAATGTTAAAAGGACTTAGAAAAATAAGATCAAAAACTATGAACAATAAAATGACAACAAACTCACAACTATCAACAACTGAACCAAAAAAAGAAACCAAAAACAAGCTAAGCAAACAACTAGGACAGGAACAGAATCACAGAAATGGAGATCAGAGGGGATATGGAGAGGGGAGGGGAGGAGAAAAGGTACAGGGAATAAGAAGCATAAATAGCAGGTACAAAATAGACAGGGGGAGGTTAAGAATAGTTTAGGAAATGGAGAAGCCAAAGAACTTATATGTACAACCGACTCATGGACATGAACTAAGGGCGGGGGGAGGGAATGCTTGCAGGAGGGGGGTGCAGGGTGGAGGGGAATAAAGGGGAGAAAAAAATGGAACAACTGTAATAGCATAATCAATAAAATATGTATAAAAAGAAATTAAGATCAAATTAGGTCATATAACAGGCATATGATGGATTACAACTCAGTCCTGATTCTAAATTTCATGATTTTAACATGCATACCATCTGACTGCTTCTAAAAATTATGACTCTAACAGAAAGAATGTGAAAATAAATAAATAAAATATTTTTTAAAAATCATTCCAAATTTCTAAAAAAGAAAACAGAAATGACAAATACAGTAGTCCCCCCTTATTTGTGGTTTCAGCTAGCCATCATCAACCATTGTCTGAATATATTAAATGGAAAATCCCAGAAACAAACCATTCATAAATGTTAAATTGTGCACCATTCTGACTATATAGGCATTGTATCATCTCACATCATCACAAGAAGGGGGAGCACAGTGAAATGAGATCTTTTGAGAGAGCATAACTTTTATTACAGCATATTGTTAAAATTGTTTTATTTTTATTGTAACTTAATTGTCATTAATCTCTGTGCCTAATTTGTAAATTAAACTTTATCATAGATACATATGTATAAGAAAAAGCACAGTATATATAGGGTTCCACTTGTGGTCTTGCAGCATATCTTTCTTGGATAAGGGTGGGTCTACTGTAATAAATGGCTATTGAAGCTGGTGGGGTAGCTCTTCATGATCTTCTTTCTGCTTTGGGGTATGTTCAGAAACTTCAATAATAAAAAGGTTTCATAAGTGAGTGAAGGTGTCAAAAAAAGGTCAGTCTCTGGGAGCAGTAACATCACATCTCACCTTTGCCTTTTCTCCCTTTTCAGCATGGCACCCCTGAAACCTGCCGGCCCTTGCTACTATCTGCTGTTTGCTCTGCCCTGCTGAGCCACTCAGGCTGGAACCCCCAGGACAACACCTGCCTCCTGAGGTTGTCCTGGCTCAGTTTTCCACAGCGATGGTGGAGAATTGGACTCCACAGACTCACAACCTTCCCATCAGGCTTCAGGAGCCAGCATCCTTCATCCTGGGGCTGGCAGCCCTGAACAATGGCTAAGGGCCATAGGACCCCATAAAGTTACTCCACAGCTTACAGGGGCCAGTAGCACTCCAGTGCCTGTGGACTATGACCACCTATCGACCCATTCCCAGTGATGATGTAGACCTGGCAGCCAGCTGTGGGGCCAGGGGAGCCGATGTCCTCCCTGGGCCGCACACAGGGGACTATGCTCCCATGGGATTCTGGGTCCAGAATGGTAGCATGCCCCAGCCTGTTGGTGAGGGCCCAGCCACCACTACCACCACCCGCCCCAGTCCCACCACGCCTGCAGTGCCCAAGATGGGCGTGCGCGCAAGAGTAGCCGACTGGCCACCCAAGAGGGAGGCCCTGAGAGAGCAGAACAACCCAAGCCCCTCACAGGACACAGATGGCACAAAAGCCACAAAGGTGGCCCATTCCATGAGGAGCATACAGAGTAGACAGCCCCCTGCCAGCACCCTGGCTTCTACAGGGTCCAAAGCCTTCCACCGACTCTCCAGGAGAAGATCCAAAGATGTGGAATTCCAGGATGGGTGGCCCCGTTCCCCTGGAAGGGCCTTCCTTCCCCTGCGGCACCGCAGCAGCAGTGAGATCACCCTCAGCGAGTGTGACATGGAGGACATGGGGGAGCCCCGGGGGGGCCGGCTCACAGGGGCTCTACCCCTCTTCCGCGAATATGGGAGCACATCCTCCATCGATGTGCAGGGCATGCCTGAGCAGAGCTTCTTTGACATTCTCAATGAGTTCCGCAATGAGCAGCCAGAGGCCCAAGGCTCTCAGAACCTCTCTGAGCTCCTCCAGGCAGATCCCAGCCCACACCTTACAGGTGGTGCCACTGGAGTCAAGGGGGACCCCCGCAACGGGCAGCCCACCAGGGACAACCTCCCACTACAGCCTGGGAAAGAGAGAGAGAGGGCCCGCAAGAAGCCCATGCGGGGCCTAGGCAGTGGGGATGCAGTGGACTCGTCCATCTTTCGGAAGCTGAGGAGCAATAAACCAGAAGGCGACATGGGCCGGTCCCCAGGGGAGGCAGAGGAAGGGCGGAGCCCACAGGAGGCCAGCAGGCCATGGGTCTGCCAGAAGAGCTTTGCCCATTTTGATGTGCAGAGCATGCTGTTTGACCTCCATGAGGCGGCTGCCCACAGGGTGTCCACAGCCCAGAGGCGGAACACCACAACGGGGGCCTCAGCCGCCTCAGCTGTGGCATCATCCCTCACAGCATTGCGGGCTAATGGCCTAGGGGGCCTGGACACAGCCTTCACCAGCACAGAGGACTTGAACTGCAAGGAGAACCTAGAGCAGGACCTGGGTGATGACAACAGCAATGACCTACTGCTCAGTTGCCCACACTTTCGCAATGAGATCGGTGGTGAATACGAGCGCAATGTGAGCTTCTCCCGGGCCTCGGTTGGCTCTCCAGGCGGGAGCGAGTGCCGCCTGGCCGAACCCACCCTCAGCACCTACCGCACCAACGCCAGCATCTCAGTGCTGGAGGTGCCCAAGGAGCAGCAGAGGACTCAGAGTCGCCCTCGGCAGTACAGCATCGAGCACGTGGACCTGGGCGCCCGCTACTACCAGGACTACTTCGTGGGCAAAGGTGACTGGGACAGGCGGGTGGACCATAGCTTATCTCTGAGACTCCCTTTGCTCATTCACTGACTGTGTGCTAGGACTTACCTCAGAGAGGGGCTGTAAGGATGCAATGAGCGAGCCTCAGGACATATGGCTGATACTCCAAAACCTTGAGCTATGTGAGACAATAGATGTGTATTTATTTAGCGAACATATGCCTGGTTCACCTAAGTGTTAGGCACTCTCTAGAACCTGGGGATACAGTATTGGCCAGTTAAACAAAAACCTTGTCTTCCTAGCACTTAATATCTTAGGGGTATAAGGCAAAAAATAAAACTAGATAAATACATAAAATATATAAGGTGCCATAGGGTCATAAGTGCTATGGAGAAAAATAAAGCATGGAAGAAAGTGTCAGGGTGGGAGGTTGCCATTTTCAGTAGGGAATGGTCAAGGAGGACCTCCTAGTAGGTGTCATTTGAGTACTGAGCTTAAGGAGATAGGGTAGGGAGCCATGAGGAGAGTAGGGACAGTTTTCTAGCACAGGGAACAGCAAGTACAGTAGCTCTGGGACACCAAAGGAATAGGAAGGAAGCTATTGTTGCTGGGATGGGTGACTGGGGGAGAAGAGAAGGAACAAGACAGAGAGGTGACGGGAAGATCACGTGGGACTTTGTGGTCCATGGTGAGAGCTCTCACTTTCACCCTGAGCGGGATGAAACTGCAGGAGGGTTCTGAGCAGAAAAGGGCCTTGAGCTGACTTTAGTGTTCACAGACTCCCTCTGAGGGTAGAGAAACCAAGGAGGAGATGATGATGGACATATCTAGGATGGAGGTGGGGAAGAAGCAGGCAGGTTCTGGATCCCCTTTGAAGGTGGAGTTGATGTTTGGAAGGCGTTAACACCAGAGGAGAGACAGGCTTCATACATCTTTAGATTCATTTGTGCTAGTGGGGCAATCCCACAAGGCAACATAGCACAGTACAGACACCACAAACCCAGGCAGGACACATACAGCAGTGCAGTACACTAAGCAGGAACTGAGCAAAAGGCAGCTCCTGCTGAGCTCCAGCTCATTGGTGTCATGCAGGGAATGCAGGCAAACCCTGAGTTGCCAGCCTTTTTGATTTTTTTTAAGATTCTCCTGAAATTCAGAATTTTTAAAAAGATGTATTTATTTATTCATTCATTTGTTTTAGAGAGAGGGGATGGGAAGGAGAAAGAGGGAAAGAAACACCAATGTCAGAGAGAAACATCAATCGATTACTTCTCACATGCACCCTGACTGGGGACCGAACCCAAAACCCAGACATGTGCCCTGACCAGGAATCAAACCACGGCCTTTCACTTTGTGGAACGACACTCAGCCAACTGAGCCACTCCGGTCACGACTGAAATTCAGATTTTTTTAAATGTGGATTCTTTTAATTTTTAAATGCTGGCAGCTATATCAATTCAGAATTGCTTACAATTACCAATAACAGGCTTATTCACCATAGAAGTTCACTTCTCTCATGAAGAAGTTCAGAGGTCAGCAACCCAGGGCTGCTATTGTTACTCCTCAGCATCAGTGGAGTGCCAGCCCTAGTGCATGGCCTCCAGCCCTCAGGTGGTCTCCCAGTACAAGATGACTGCTGGAGCTCCAGTCATTTCATCTGTATTTCCAGGCAGAGAAACAGAGGACAGGGTAAAGGCGAAAAGGCCTTCTGTCAAGCCAATCCCCTTTAAAAAGTTTTCTCAGAAGCCCCATCCAGCTGTTTCTGCTTATTGGCTCCTTCTGTCTGAAAGGCAAGCTGAGAAATAGAGGTTTAGAGGTTTTTTTAGCTAGACATGGCCCCTGTCTTCCCCCAAGAATAGAGGGTTTTCTCAAAAAGGAAGAAGGGAAGAATGGATAGGCAGCTAGTACTATACAGCAAGTAGTTTTTAAAAAGTGTAAAGCAGTGTCCTAGTCAAACATAATATATATCAATTAGGTAGTCACACAGGGCTCAGAGTTCAATCTCTGGAGCTCCTGCTCTGGAGTTAGGCAGCCCTGGGTTTGCAGTTTTCATTCCATAGCTTATTAGCTATGTGATACATTTCACTCACTGGACTCTGTCTCCTGAACAAGATTGTAGTAATATCCCATATCCAAAAACAAAATGACACAGCAGTTGAAAACAAAAGGATGAAGTTTTCAGGCAGTTGCTAACCAAGAGAAAGTAGGTGAGACAACACCAATATCACATAAAATGGATTTCAAGGCTAAAACCAGTTTTTGGAGGAACTGAAAGTCCACTTCATGCTGCTAGTTAAAAATTCACCAAGAAATTCTTGATAGTTGTGGACTTTTGTACTTGGCAACCTGGTTTAGGGGTATGTGAATTAAAACTGATATGGTTACAGGGAGAAGTGAACAAATCCATGATCAGTGGGAGAAGCTGACAGGGCCTCTTGTTCCAATTGACAGATCTAGTAGCCAAAAAATCAAGTGGAAATGGATTTAAATAACCTGTCAGGCCCTAACCCGTGTGGCTCAGTTGTAGCGTCGTCCCACAAACAGAAAGGTCACAGAATCAATTCTTGGTCAAGGCACATGCCTAGGTTGCTGGTCTTCCAAGAGACAACCAATTGATGTTTCTCACATCAGTGTTTCTCTCCCTCTCCCTCTCTCCCTTGCCTCTCTCAAAAAAAAACAAAAAACAAAAAAAAAAAACCCAAATAATTTTTAAAAACCTTCAGAACTGGGTTTTTACATTAATATGTATTGATTTTGTTCACATATTACATGTACATTTGTATATACATAGTAATTTTGTACCTAACCAACAGAGAACACATTCTTTTTCTTTTTTAATACTCACCCTAGGTCATGTTTATCAATTTGAGAGAAAGAGAGAAGGAGAGAAACATCTGATCAGTTGGCTTTTGTACACACCCCAACCAGAGCAATCTAGGCATGTGCTCTGCCCAGAAATTGAACCCATAGCCTTCTGGTTTACAGGATGGCAGTCCAACCAACTAAGCCACACTGGCTAGGGCAAGGATACATTCTTTTCAACTCACACATAAAAATACCTACTTGAAATGTCTGTGGTGAGGATCAAATAAAATTGAACATTAAAACATACAGTTTTTCATCAGGTAGTAAGTACTACCAAGAAACTTTTTTTGGCGGGGAGAGAGAAAGAGACGGAGAGAAACATCGGTATGTGTGATTGGTTGCTTCTCGTACGCCCCCAGCTGGGGACCTGGCCTGCAACCCAGGCATGTGTCCAGACTGGGAATCACACTGGCGACCTTTTGGTTCATAGGCAAGTGCTCAGTCCACTGAACCACACCAGCCAGGACAATGGAACTTTTTTAAAAAGCAATTTTCTTTAAAAGATTATTTCTGTGTAGCCCTGGAACGTCATGAATTAATTTTTCGATCATTGTTTATTAAGTGCCTGCTGTATGCCAGGACTGGGAAGTACTGAGTATGCATTGGTGGATTGAAAAAAAACAAACCCAGCATCCACTTCAGGAATGAACTGATATTTGTGGAGTATAGTAGTTACTCTGTTCTCTGACCAGTTGGGGAAATTAACCCACTGCAGGTGCTATTCTGATTGGGGTCATTAATTAACACACATTATTTGAGCTTTAGATAAGCCTTTGATTCACCAAAAGCATCTCATGAGAATAGGCACCATCAGTTCAACATCAGAGCACTGGAGTGGGAAGAAATTTCTGTCAGTGGGTAGAAGTTGACATCATGGACTTGAGTCAAGTCAGACTGCTGGTTGGTATCCACCACAAGCAGAAGATACTTGAGTCAGGATATCAGGAAGAGCTGTTTTCCTGGAAGAATTATAAAACAGCAGCATGTAGAGTCAGCTGTCATTTCCAGGAGAGAGCAAAAGACTTCCTTAATGACTCATTAAGGGCTCTGTCAGCACAAGGAAAAAAAAGAGTAATGGTCTATAGAAACGTGATCAGATAAAGGTGATGCTTAGGGACTTGAATCATGGTCCCTTTTCTGTGACAAACATCATGGCCTGGGGATGGTAATGAGTATTTAGTACTTTTTAACTTGTTTAATCCTCACAACAATACTGAGAAGTGGGTTCATCCTTACTGATCCCATTTCACTGATGAGAAGGCTATTGAATGATGTGGGCCACACATCCAGCATTGCCAGAGTTGGGATTTCATCTGGCCAGGAGGCTCTTTAGCTAGAATCTTAACCATGTCTAGAATCTTAGCCATTTCATGAGAGCTAATTTGTAGCTAAGCTGATGAACATTTGCAAATATAGGACAATCACAACGAGTCTGGGTTTATTACATGCCATGTACCACAATGAACATTTTATATTTGCAGCTTCATTTCACCCTTCCATCAGCTCTATGAATTGTGCATAATGTCAGGCCCCCCATTTCTCAGATGAGAGCACTGAGGCTCAGTAAAGTTGTGTAACTTGACAGACATGGTGTAGTAAGTTCTCTCTATTGCGTGTGGCCATGACTGGGCCTGAGAGCCTGCCCTGACCAGCCATCTGCTCAGCAGGCCTGCCATGAGACATCACCAGAGAGCTGACTCTGAACTCACCTATTCTTCCTTCACAGAGCATGCCAATTACTTTGGCGTGGATGAGAAACTGGGGCCAGTGGCCGTGAGTATCAAGCGGGAAAAGCTGGAGGACCACAAGGACCATGGGCCTCAGTACCAGTACAGGATCATCTTCCGGACGCACGAAGTAGGTCTCATTACTATGTTACTGTTATGTAAATAATACACCTCACATGTATGCATTCTTTATGCCAGGTTCTGTGGGCAGGGACTTCACCTGCTTCATCTCATGTAATCCTCCCAACAACCTCTAAGCACAAATCCTCTCAGTCTCACCATTTGTTTTCTTTTTTCTTAAAGATGTTATTTATTTATTTTTAGGCAGAGGGGGAGGGAAGGAGAAACAGAGGGAGAGAAACATCAGTGTGTGTTTGCCTCTTGCACACCCCTACTAGGAACCTGGCCCACAACCCAGGCATGTGACCTGATTGGGACTCAAACCAGCAACCCTTTGGTCTGCAGGCATGCACTCAATCCACTGAGCCACACTAGCCAGGGAAGTCTCACCATTTTACAAAAGAGAAAACTAAGACTCAGAAATTAAATATGTCTAAGATCAGTGAATGATTGGCTAAGCCAGGATTAGAATCTGATGTATCTTACTGCAGAGCCCAGGATTCTTCTATTTGTAAGAAGAGATTGACTCTGGTTAACCTAAGAAATAAAGGGAGAGATGTGGAAGCTTCTTTCAGGACCATGAGGTGTTCTGCAGCCTGGGCAGGGCAGGAATTGGGAAATCTCAGCCCAAGGACTGCTATTGATGCTCACGGCTCAGAACATTCCCAGTGCATCTCTTCATCCGGCGTAGAGAATCCCATTGTCCTGACTTGGTCAGAGATCTAACCCCTGGATTACATGTCACCTGTGACTAGAGAGCAAAGCCTGTGGGGAGCACCCTGCTTGATTAGGTTCTTAAGTTAGAAGTAACAGACATCTACTAACTTTTTAAGCCAGTAAGAGAATTCATTGGTTCATGTATCTGCACATCCAGCGGTAGGGCTAACCTCTGGTATGGCCTGCCCCAGGCACTCCATTGTTGTTACTAGAGAACTCTGCCTCCTCATCTCTCCATTCTGCTCAGCTTCTTTTCACATCCTGAATGTCATTGTCTTCTGCCACCAACAAATTCCACATCACAGGAAAATGGAGACTGGCCACCCAAGTCTTGTATATCTTCATACCTTCTCCACGTGGAAGACAAGTTTATCTGCCACATCTCTGGGAAGGACTCTGATTGGCTCTACTTGGATCACAAGTCCACACCCTGGGCCAGCCATTGCCATCAGGGCTGGTAAGGGAAACTGGCCAGATCTAAGATATGCATTCCACCATATAGGGGCAGGGCAGGGCACTCTGATTGACTTTTCCATCAGCACCATCTGGAGGAGGCAGTGAGGTGGTTCCTTGGCAAAAAGAGGGAGTTAGGCCAGCAAAAATGATGCAGATTTCCAAAAGACCTTTCCAGAAAGGGGGTGTTTAGCAGATAGGAAGGTTCCCCAAAATGGGTCTCTCTCAGCTCTGCATTGCCCCTTGGACCTGGCCTTTGCCCAGACACAGTGTGTGAGGCCAGCCAAGCCTGGACCTCATCCATACTGGCAGATGCTGCACCAAGGACCCAGGCCCATCCCCTCATGAAGACCTTCTCACTGAGGGGCAATGTGATGAAACAGAAGCTTTGTGGCAGCTGAGGGGAGGCAGCCCCAAAACCTCATGCTCCAGATCACAGGTGGTCACTGACCCATCTATCTCCCCAGCAACCTCCTTCCTCTCCTCTCTTTTCTGGCCAGATGAGCACCAGGACAGAATGTGAGGTAACAGCTCACACTGTAACGGACCATTGTATGACATATAGGGAACTGCTGGGTGAAATGACAATGACAATCATTAATATTAATAATATTTACTACAATTGCTATCATATTAGAAACCTGCTTAACACTGTGCATTGGGCAATTTCTGTGTCCTTTTATGTATGTTCACTCAATTCTATGATGAGGGCACTGTTACCCATTTACAGATGAGGAAACAGCCATAGAAAGATTAAGGGACTTGCCCAAAGCACCTTCCAGTAAGTGACAGGGAGAGGTATCAGCCTACACTCCATCCACAGCTTAGCTGCCTTCGGGATTTCAGTAACAGCCTAGCCTGTATATCGGACCCATTCATGAGTTGTGAGCTCCACTTAGTGCCAGTATTTTTATGTCGTTACTGTTGTTGTTAATGAAAATAGAATAGGAAGAATGAATTTTTTAAATACCAGACTGCATTGTACGTTCTGACAGTCATGAGATTTTGGTGCAGAGATGGGGGTCAGGGTGTAATATTTTTGCTGTGGTTCCTTTTCAGTAAGTTTGAAACTGGCTTAGTGTCACTTCTGACTTGTGCCTGCTTTTGTCCACTTCACACCCCCTATACCCACAAAGCTAGCCTCCACTCCGCACCAGGGAGGGAGTGCTGAGGTTCAGGGCCACAGGTCAGGGTTTACCCACCCCGTAGAGATTCATTCAGCGCCACCCTCCAACAACCCTGTGCTGGGTGCTGAAGGGACAGCAAGTAGTGAATAGGGCAGCAAAAATGCTTGTGGGACTGAATTTCTATGGTGGAGGCAGACAATATACCCTAGTAAATTAGTGTGGTACGAGAGGCAAGGAGGAAAGTGAAGCAAGGAAGAGAGATAAGAAGTATGAAGGAGACTTGGTATGGGTCTCCTTGGTTTGGCTGTTCAGCATTTGTGAAGCTTTGGGTATGTAGCTTCTTCTCTGACAGCCGGTTCCCTCTTGGGAATTCAGTTTCACAGGACTGGTGTGGGCTCAGTGAGATTGCTGAGACTGCACCTGGGGAGGGCCCAGTGAACTTAGAAGTAGGGAGAGGTCTCAGTCCACTGTCCACTTGTCACATTCCAGCCAGCCATGCGAATTTTGGCCCACCGTGAGGTTGACAACCACAAGCAGCCCTTTGTCTTCATACACACAGGCCACACACAAACTTAGTCTTGGGCCCAAGTCCTTAGAGAGCTGCCCTGTTGGGGATTTAGGCCTGAGGACCTCATCATCTGGAGTTGGGGAGAAGCAGTGGCCAACAAGGTTTTCCTGGCCCCTTCCCAAGGTCTGTTCTGTCATGGAAGCAGAACAGAGGATTGCATAGCCCCAAAGTAGTAACAACAGTAGTAACAACAACAATAGCTAACACTTTTAGCACATGTTCCTGCCAGTCATTCTCCTAAGTGTTTTATATGTAGTAGCCTTTCAGATCCTCTCAACAGTCCCAGGATGTGGGTCCCATTATGATCTTCATTTTACAGTTGAAGACGTTGAGGCCCAGGGAGAGAATCACTTGTCAGGGTCCGCCTGTGGCAGAGCTGGACATGGCCCCAAGCAGACTGGATCCTGATCCCATCCTCTTAATTACTCACCGCATGGACTGTCAGATCAAGTTGGAATTCCTACTCTGGCAATAGACAGCCCTGGGTTTGGTCCGGCTCTGCCACTCACTAGACATGTGACCTTGAGCAGAGAGCTTTAATTCGGGGCACCTCAATATCTTCATCTGTAAAATAGGCTTTGTGCCGTCCCATCCCTTTAAATGGTGGAAAGGACACAGGTGGAAGCACAAGGCTTCAGGGCAGTAGGTGCTCTGAGTGGCGGATATTATGGTGACACTGCTGTTGTGGCCAATCACTCTTTCCCACAAGGTCAGAGTGCCACGCCGGGGAGCAAGTGTTGAGTTTATGGACAGAGTTCTGGTCTCCTGTTTACAAACACATATCAGGCTCTTGTAAAACAAGGCATGGGGCCCAAAGCAAGGGGCCCAGCCACCTGGTCTGCCCCGTCTGGCCATCACCAGTTGCCAAGCAGACAGTCGAGCGAGCCTACATCTCCTGGCAGATGGGGTGTGAGTGTAGGCAGCACTGAGCTTCCCGCCAGGGCAGGGATGGACTTGGAACTGACTGTTGGTAGCACACACCTAAATGTCAGTCTCTGGGTCCTCAACCCAGAGCCTTGACAGGACAAGCCCAGGCCAGGACTGCCCTGTCCACAGCCTCTTTACTGGTACTGTCTGTCCCATGACCCAGGTAGCCCCCATCAGTTAGGGACTGCCTGGCCCACCACAACAACTGGGTTCCATTTAGGCCTCCACAAGTGAGTTTTTGACAGATCTTATTTTTGTTAGGGTTAAAGATTTGGATTTTCATGTCTTTTTCTTTATTTAAAAGTAACAGTCACTTAAGAATTTGACTGCACTTAAGAATTAAGAATTGCAGTACCTAAGTGTGCAAAGTAGAAAAGGGAGAATCTCATCAAGTGTAATAGTGTATTGATTGGGACGTCATTTATGTGCAGTAGCTACTACCTCTGACTGTGTGCGTGTGTATGAATCTCCAAAGCATATTGTTATTTGGCGGGGGGGGGGGGGGAAGCATACTATAGCTTTCTTTTTAAGGTTAAAAATTTTTAATTCTTACCTACATAATGTAGCTTTGTACAAAAACCATTTGACACATGTACATACATGTAATAATGGCTAATATGTACTCAACACTCACTGTCTGCCTGATACAATGCTCAGCACTGTACATGGATTATCTTACTGAATCCTGGTGACCCTTTGAGGCAGGCATTATCATCCTTATTTTATAGATGAAGAAATGGGCCCATGCACACACAGCTGGAGAAGACGCAGAGCCAGGATTCAAACCCAGGCAGACTGACTCCCAAGTGACCTGCCAAGAAAAGTGGTTTTGTTTTGGGTTTTTTTTGTTTTATTTTTTTCAGTCTTCATCTGAAAAATATGTTTATTGATTTTAGAGAAAGAGAAAAAGGGAGAGAGATAAACACTGATTGGCTGCCTCCTGTATGTGCCCCAACCAGGGATCAAACCCACAACCTAGCTATGTGTCCTGACCAGGAATTGAATCTGCAACCTTTTGGTGCACAAGACGGTGCTCCAACCAACTGCCCGAGCCCAGGGAAAGTTCTTAAAGGAAGGTACACCCACTGCCCAGCACAGAAAAAGGAAGGGGTGGTTGTGGAGAACTATCTATGTAAATACGAACCTCTTTGCTTACCAGGCCCTGAGGCCTTTCTATGGCTCACCTGACTACTTACCCACAGTGGGATGCCAGGGCCC